CCCGCGGCCCCGGGGGATGTTGAGGGTCGGATGAATCCCTTCTGCAGGGCATCAGTTATATAATTGTCCATAGCCCGGGTTTCCGCCGGAGAGAGGGAGAACAGGCGACCCCGAGGGGGGGTGGTGCCGGGCTGGAGCCTGATCTCCAGGTCGTAGGGTCGGTGAGGAGGTAACCTGGTAGTGGGTTCTTTAGCGAAGACCTGAGCGAGGTCGTGGTATTGAGGAGGGATGAGCGTCAGGTCTACGTCTGTGGGAGTGGCTGCTCTGGTCCGAGGTGCAGGGGAGTCCCGGTGGTTATGGCAACCCGTGCCCCAGGCCAGGACTTTACTGGTGGACCAGGAGATGTGAGGCTCATGGCGGCAGAACCAGGAATGACCCAGGATGAGTGGCGTGGCCGGAGCCTGGATGACCAGGAAGTGGAGGGTCTCCCGGTGTTGGTCAATAGTCATGTGGAGACCCTGAGTTCGGTGGGTGAGAGGGTACGGCATGATGGGCCGGCCGTCCACAGAGGTCACGGGAATGGGTCGGTCGAGGGCGGTGAGGGGTATCTTGAGCCGAGTAACCAGTCCGTGATCGATAAAACACTCCGCAGCCCCAGTGTCTAAAAGTGCCTCCAGTCTGGTCGGGCCTTGGTCCAGGTGGAGGGAGACCGGGAGAGTGGTTCGGTGTGGAGCCGGAAAGGTGGAGACTCCGGGTGGGACAGCTCCTACTCCGACCCGGAGGGACCTTTTCCCGGTCGTTTTGGGCACGTGCCACGGTGGTGACCCAAATCCCCACAGTAAGCGCATCTTCCCTCCTGGTAGCGCCGTGCCCGTTCCTCAGGGGCAAGATGTCCCAGCTGCATCGGCTCCTCCGTCAGTTGGTGAGCCGGCCGGCGGGGTGACGTCCTGGTGTGTACGGGGGCTGACATGGTGCTCGGCCGGTTCAGGATGCAGCGGTCCAGTTGGAGAGCCAGATCCACTGCCAGGTCCAGGGAGGTTGGGACCTCGTGCCCGATCATGCCCTCCCGGATTCTCGGTGACAGTCCCTCCAGGTAAACGGCCTTTAGGGCGGCGTCATCCCACCTCAACCGAGCTGCTGTCGTCCGGAAGCGAGAGGTGTACTGAGCCGCCGTCTGGGAGCCCTGGCGAAGCTGAAGCAGCCGCGTCTCGTCCGAGACCTCGCTGCTGGGGTGCACAAAAGTCTTTTTCATCTCCTTTACAAAAGTCTCATAGTCATTGCAGGCAGGAGATTTCTGATTGTAAAGAGCCACCGCCCATTCACCGGCTCGACCTGTCAGCAGTGAGGTCAGCAGGGCGACACGAGAGCAGGATGTGGGGTAACGTGCCGGTTGGCACTCGAAAGTCATGGCCAGGGTCGCCAACATGCCCTCCGGGGATCCCCTGGTTCCGTCCCACTTCTCTGGAAGGCTGAGGCGTGGTTCCATCCTGTCAGGAACAGCTGCGGTCTGACGTTGCAGAGCGGTGGTCAGCTGGAGTACTAGCTCGGTGAGTGACTCGATCTTAGTTGCTTGGCGATCAGCTATGGCACGGAGCTGGTTCATTTCTGCCGTATGCTGATCCAAGGTTGCGCGCTGTTGAGCCACTTCGGCACGCAGACGCGCAAACTCCGCTGGGTCAACTTTGGGCTCAGTCATCCTGTCAGGTTCGTTGGCAGATCTGAAGCGTGACTGAGAGTGCTGTTGCCCAGACGCGGAGAGACGGAGATAACCGGCGTGGTTCTTTCCTGTAGGTGTAGCTTGAGGGTTTAGAGGGCTGGTAAGCCTGGAGACTCGATGCAAAGTCTGGTGAGAACGATGAATGAGCAATGAATGAAACGCCGGCACTTCCTTAAGTAGTGTCGGCGTGATGACGTCAGTCGCCACGTTAGTGGCAGGAATGAATGGAATGCAGTCAGCTGGAGGAGTTCGTGACACATACAGAAATGCCCTCAAAAATCAATATTTGGCCACACTACATCCTCAGCACGTGAAGGGAATTCCTGCATTTCTCCTAAAAAAAACTACTTTGATAATGAGATCGAGACAGTGGCTGCCAAAGTGCAAGAGAAGCAAACAAGTCACAGAGGTTTTAAACGCGGTCGGGACAGAAGAGAGGTCTCCTTTAGAAAAAAAAAAATAACAATGGTTCCACTTAAAATTGAATCTGCTAAATCGTAGCGTAACGGGTTGCCATTTACATCTTACACTTGAGGAGTCGTTCTGTTTGGAGTTAGTTTTATTTGGAAATGCTGTCTAAGAGTGAATTCAGTCTAGTTACAATGGCATCGGGGAGCAGAGGAGGTTCCGGAGGGTTCTCGTAGCTGCAAAAGAGAATATGAACTGGAATCTAATTTGTGCGGTTTGTCTGTCGCTCAACAAAGGATCCCAAATCACGGCATAGCTCCAGCAGGATCTCAGGAATCAGATCAGAGTGCTCACCAGGACTCATTCCCTCCAGAGTGCACGCTCTGTCAAATTGACCATAACACAAAATCAGCCATGCTACAATGGTCACATGTCTTTTATAGGTTTTAGCACCATGCATGTGATAAAACTGTTGTTCTACTAAAATAGTTATTTATTGGGTACAATAATTTGCGGGTGAGGAACGTGTGGACGACTCAGACCTTCAGAAACAAAAACCTCTGGAATGAGACTTCCAGGAAAAACTCGACCACATGAAACCTTTAGAGAAAAATATAAAATCGGACCACTTTCTAGCAGAGATTTCTCATCAGACGGATGGAGCTTGTTAAAGCTGCCGATGCCAATGGCTGTGTGTCCTTGCACCCACGTTTCTGCCCTCAACAACATCCGACAACAGATGATGGCCTCAGTGCCCTTCTCCTAAGCACCATTCACAGCACGGATCACTCAGAGCAGAGTGGACGGTTCATTCAACCGATAAAAGCTTCAGAAAAGTAGAGGGAAAGACCTTGTATGGGCTGTCTGTTTTTCATTGCTATGAATCTGGGCTGCAATTACTAGTGGACATAATTGATGACATCACCATTATGCAACACCAGCATCTGGGAGCAGTGCTGTTTATTAGCAGCACGGCTCTAGCAGCAGAGAACAACTTCTGAGGAGAATGTAGTGAACCCGCGGGTGCAGCAGCAAAAATGACAGAAGAGTGTGACAGATTTGGGTTTGTTGTATTGAAACTTTGTGGTGTTGACGTTCTCTAATGTTCATATCAGGGTGTCACAGGTGATTGTTGAAAGTCTCAGTGTCATGCTCTGTGTCCCTTTGGTCCCCAGCCCCCTCCTGTTCTCACTCCAGGTTCTCCTCATGTGTCTCCTTGTGTTCCCCAGTTCTCTCTAGGCTTTCCTCATGTTTCCTTCTAGTCACTCCCTGGTAGTTCCTATTGGTTTGTATTAGTCCTCCTCAACCCCTCTAGTCATTAGTTGTTTATCTTTGCCCTTAGTCTTTAGGTTTAGTTATTTAGTGTTTTATAGGTTATGGTTTATCTCCCCCTCTGCTTAGTTCTTTCCCCATTTAGTTTATTGATGGCACCTGTCTCCCCTCTAGACCTCACTCCTCACACCTGTCACCTGTTCCCCTGATTGCTTCCCTCTGTGTTTAAAAACCCTGTCTTGTCCCTCAGTGTTTGTTGGTCTATTGTACGTGTCAGCGTTGTTCAGTTCCCTCTCGGGTTTCTCCGAGTCTGTGCTCATAAGTGAGCTTTTGTTTGTTTTTGAGCGTTCAGTGTGTTTTTGAGATTTAGTCTGGTTTTTTGTGCTTTGGACTTTTGGCGCATCCTCCTTTAAATAAAGGAATTATTTTCTTTAACCACTCCTGCCTTGAGTCGTTCTGGGAATTCTGCAACTTGGGTCCAAACCTCCTGCACTCATCGTGACACTCCACTTGTTTTTCAATAAATTTGCTTTGATCTCTATACGAACAAACATCTCGGGGCATGGGAGTGGTTATGTGTCGGACAAAAGCTCTGGCGCTTCTGTTCAGGAAGTAGAAGTTTGTCAATATTCATGATATGCTAACATCGACGCGCCGCGACTCTTCCACTGCCTTTGTTAACAAGGCTCAGAGTTTCTTGATAAAAAAATTCTATACTGATGTTTCATCTCTAAACCAGAATGTGTTCCACTATGTTGTGGAGTTGCTAACGCTAACTGTTAGCTTCTACTAGCAGAGATGCACTCTGCCCTCTTCTGGTTGCAAAATCAATCCAAGGTAGGTGGGTCCATGAACACTAATTTTCTCTGTGACGTAGACAAGACTGGCTTTTCCTGATCTGATCATTTCCCCGTCTTTTTCCTATCTGCAGCTAATGCAGCCAATGGGTATTAGCCCTCCCACTGTCCTAATGGGTGTGACCCCGCAAGGAAAGTTGACCATTGAGCAGGGTTGATGGTTTATCCCTTGAGGTCCATGTGGCAGGGGTGAGGAGTGAGCACCACCTCACCCCTGCCACATGGACCTCAAGGGATAAACGATCAACCCTGCTCAATGGTCAACTTTCCTTGCGGGGTCACACCCATTAGGACAGTGGGAGGGTTAAAGAACATCTTAAAGTTTAGTATGCATATGCAACTCAAAACTGATCCATCGTATTTCACAAAGAACAAGAATTTAAAAGTTTCTCAGTGAATGTGGCCTTTAAACAAACTTTTCAGACTCCCAACTGGGAACATTTTAAAGAAAAATCCATCACATTTTTACACATGATAAAGACTTTGGGAGCCTCTGTGAATACACGGATGAACTGATATGGGAGAAAGCACACAACCATAAACAGTACGGCATAATACATGCAGCAGGGATGAATCCATGTGTGAAAATGTCATAAGTAAATGTCAATAGCTGTTTCAGGTTTGTCTTCAGGACACTCAGCCTGGTGTTTCTGGGCTGCAGGATTCATTCCTCCTGATTTCTTCTACATTAAAGAGCTTGTCTGCTCATGTGATCTTTTGACAGTGATTCCAAAATCCTCTAAGTTTTATTTACAAAGAACAACACGTGGACATGGCACTTATTTCTCTGCACATTGTGTCTGTACCTCAATGTAGGAAGCGAGTCGTGGATAAACCCTATGAGGACCCAGCACGTGGGACAGATGGGTGGTGTACGGGAAGCTGGTGGTCACGGCGTGGCTCACTTCTGGCAGAGAAAACACCTTGAAACCAAACTTCTCATAAAGCTTCAGCAGTTCTTCGTCCAGCTTCTCTTCACCCTCACACAGGATGCTGCCCACCATGTATCGGCACTTCTCCGGTGGCCTCTGAGTAGACGTAGAAGGAAAATATGTTCACAAATTAAGAGATTTAGAGACATATTTTGACATTTCATACTGATGCATATTTCATAATGATCCAACTCACAGTTGGAACTGACTTTTTTGCTAAGCAATACGTTTCAATTCAAAATGCAAAAAAATAAATTGAATTTCGTACATAAACACATTTTACATAAACCTAAAATGCAATGTATGGCAAATAAAGCTAGACTTGAAATGAGGCATGTTTATAAAAGAACCTGCCAAAATAAAAGCTTTTGCATAAAACCACACAATCCAACAGTCCTGTGAAACACGAGCAGCAAAGTTGTTGTTGAGCAGGGGAGGAGAAACCCAGTTAGGCAATCACTGCCAATCACTCCACAAATGTGCATTTGCAGCAGAGTTACACCACCGCCGGGACCTCTGCAGACAGATCCCAGCCAGGTCAGCTTTGTGTTGTTAACAACCATCAGGATTAACACACTGAGCATGTCTACCGGCAGGACTGCTGCTCCAGTAACTCAGGAAGTTCATAGGGAATTCTGAATCCTGAAGGCACCGTGATTTTTCTGCCTTTTGTGTCCAGAGATCTGGATTTCTATATGTGTCTAAAAACTAAAAAATCTAATTATAATTTGCTGATGATCATGTTTTTATTTGGTTTTCTTTGTGCTTTATTTACCACTTGTTAAGCCTGGTTTGAGAAATCTGAAGGGCAGGAGAGGTTTGGTTTTGAGTATTGCTGCAACCTTAAGGGGGGGGAAAGAACAATACCATAATAATTTATTTAAGTCAAATATCTGTTATTTTGACATTGTATTTACCTCCTTTGACAATATTAACTTTATATTATTAAAATGTTTTGACATTGTTACAATATAAATCCCATAATAAGATTCTTTATTATGACATAAATATACAGTGGGTACAGAAAGTATTCAGACCCTCATCCTTTTTTCACTTTGTTATATTGCAGCCGTTTGCTAAAATCAATTAAATAATTGTTTTCCCTCATTAATGTACACAGATAACACCATATGGACAGAAAAACACAGAAGTGTAGACATTTCTGCAGATTTACTAAAAAAGACTAACTGAAATATCACATGGTCCTAAGTATTCAGACCCTTTGACGTGACGCTGCTATATTTATCTCAGGTGCTTTCCATTTCTCCTGATCATCCTAGAGATGGTCCTACACCTTCATTGGAGTCCAGCTGTGTTTGATTACACTGACTGGACTTGATTAGGAAAGCCACACACCTGTCTATAGAAGACCTTACAGCTCACAATGCATGTCAGAGCAGATGAGGACCATGAGGTCAAAGGAACTGCCGGAAGAGCTCAGAGACAGAACTGTGATGAGGCAGAGATCTGAGCGAGGTGGCTGCACTTCAGGTTCCTAAGAGCACAGTGGCCTCCATAATCCTTACATGGAAGACGTTTGGGGCGACCAGAACCTTTCCTAGCGCAGACTGTCCATCCAAACTGAGCTACCAGGGGAGAAGAGCCTCAGTGAGAGAGGTAAAGAAGACCCCAAAGATCGCTGTGGCTGAGCTCCAGAGATGCAGTCAGGAGATGGAGAAAGTTGTAGAAAGTCAACCATCACTGCAGCCTTCCACCAGTCAGGGCTTTATGGCAGAGTGGCTCATTTGAAACTTCTCCTCAGTAGCCATCAAAATGGATCCCCTCAACACCTTGGCTGCACCTAGAAATCCTGTCCACAACAGTTATGAACAGAATCAGTCATAAAGGGCAGCCTTGGTGGAGTCCAACTCTCACCTGAAACGAGCTTGACTTACTCCCAGCAATGCAGACCAAGCTCCGACACCGGTCATACAGGGACCTAACAGCCCGTATCAAAGGGCCTGGTACCCCATACTCCCAGAATACTCCCCACAAGGCTCCTCGAGGGAACACACTCTGCGGTGCCCCATTTTAAATAGGGGGGCCACCACCCCAGTCTGCCAATCTAGTAGAACTGCCTCTGATGTCCACACGATATTGCAGAGCCTCGTCAGACAACACAGTCCTACAACATCCAAAGCCTTAAGGAACACCAGTTGGATCTCATCCACCCCGGAAGACTTGTCACCAAGGAGCTTTTCAACAAGCATCTGTGACCTCAGCCCCAGAGATCGGAGAGTCCAACCCAAAGACCCCGGACCCTGTTTTCCTCCCAGGAAGATGTGCCGATGGAATTAAGGAGGTCTTTGAAGTACTCCACCCAACGATCCACAATACTGTCACGAGGTCAGCAGCACACTGTCCCCACTATAAA